AAACAGGCGCATATTTTATGGCATAAAAAAACGCAAAGAATTAATGAATGTGAATGAAAACAATAGTGGCGTGAACATGCAAGGAAAAAAATCTTGCTATTGCTATCTTCTTGCCATTCAGTCTTGTCAGCAGCAGGCTACTAATAAATTTTAAAAAAGACAACGCTTTTCGTATTCAAATACAGGTTTCGACAGTTAAACTTCTGTCATCGTCAGTTACAACTAGAATGAATTTGAATATACAAATTAATATACAGGTTTTGTACAATATCTGTTACCTAGAATAACTTCATAACATGAATAAATTGCAGCGGTTATCAATCACACGCAACCTTCAGTGCAAAAACAGTCTAGACAAAACCTAAGTTTTGGTGGACGTCAATCATCTCCGCCTCCTTGCCGACCGTATGCAAAATTTACCTGAAAGTGAAACCCTGCAGCGGTCCACTTGTAAAAAATATCATTTTACTTTCGGTATGTACGGCTAGCTCACTAACTACATCCTTGAAATCTATAAATGAAAACGTTTGTCAGGTAACAGCACGTTTTTTCCACGTTTTCTTTTTGTTCTTTTGTTTTGGATTCCATGTATTTTACAGCGGTTATCAATGACACACAACCTCCAGCACAAAAAAGTCTAGACAAAACCTAATTAAGTTTTGGTGGACGTCAGTCATCTCCGCCTCCTTGCCGACTGTATGCAAAATTTACCAGAAAAAGTGAAACCTTACAGCAGTCCACTCGTAAAAATTATCATTTTACTTTCGGTATGTATGGTTAGCTCACTAAATACATTGGCAGTAAATATTCCTTGAAATTTATAACTGAAGATGGGCAGGTCAGGTTTCTCAACGGCCATTCGCATGCATGAATGACCCCGAGAGCAAGCAAATCTACACGTAAACAAATTATTTCTGTACCTATTTGTCTTGGGGCTACGGACTGAACAAGACTTCAACGTCTTATAAACCTTATAATTTTGTAAGGTAATAAGTTATAAGTTTTATAGAATTAAGTATTGTTCAGTCCGTAGCCCCCTAAGAAAAATATGTGCAGAAATAATTTGTTTGCGTGTAGATTTGCTTGCTCTTGGGGTCATTCATGCATGCGAATGGCCTTTGAAAAACGCGACATTGATCGATATGATGATATTGTAATGCACAACACGTTATGTGCACTGTATATGTCGTTACGTAAGTAACATGTACATGAGTATGTAGAAATTGCAAACTGTTTCGTTAGTTTATAGAAAAAATATATAGTTCATCCCACGCACACTGACATGAAAGATCTGAGCTGAGATCCACACTGACAGTGAGAACATGTTTACTCCATATGAATGTAGGACCATGTAGCACGGGCGTTGTGATCACGAGTCAAATACACTTATAACTACTTTAACATAGTTTTTTTCATAAATTCATGAATAACGCATTTGATTTAAAATGTTTTCAAGCACTCCAGACTATTAATTCTTCCTCTCATTACGTGCCATGCATAAACCTTTTGCCACCCCTGCCACAAGACTGTTTGACTGTGCTCGAGGAGGTTTACAAATTCCAATATAACAAGCCACACCTCTATGACTAGAATCAACAAGTTTTTTATTCCACCTGTGGTGTAGCGAGAACACTTATACAAATTGAGACCAGTAACTTGATAAAACGCTTGAATGCAAAGTAACGGTTTGAGATGTGGCTAAAAAAGTTTCGAAAGGTAAGCAGTTTGACGTGCTACATTCTCCTAAAATCAGTCACGCCAACTGTGTCGCCGACAATGGAATTAAGGATGATCCAAGGTTGTAGCCAGAAACAAAATTCTACCTTGATATCAATTTTAACACTACTGTGATGAAGTGTTTTTTTCTATTGATATTAATCTACTACCACCAGGAAATGTTTTCTACCCAGCTGAGCCTGAGAAATTCAGTAAATTCTAAGCGCTGAAATGGTTGGGCGCTCTCTCATAAACAATTCACATCAAGTGTCCCTGACAATAATACTCAGTCGAAAAAACATCTGACGGCTAATGTGACAAAATTGGTTTACCACATTTACACCCAGAATGGTAAAACGGCCAATCGTTTGACCTGCACGCCCAAACGGAAGACAGCATCGTCATCTTATAACTCAGTTTGATTCCTTCAGTTGTTCAAAACTCTAAACATCGTACTTTCTATAGAAATCACAACTAAGGGTTTCCTTCAGTACCTCTGACCCTGAAGTGTTTTTGTCAATCAGCGAATTTCTCTGACCAAATATGTTGTGAAATATTTTTACATGTAGCAAGCAATAAAAATATATAAAAATAGCACTCACTAAAGGACAAATTCCCTTAGCAATTCCATGAATGCATTGAGAACTTTGTAGTTTTCTTGAAGTTGATTTGTATTACATTCGTAGAAACTATGGAAAATGTTTTCGGCGGAATAAGGTACTTAATGTAATGCGACCACTAACCAAGAATACTAGTGCTTGAATCCGAGCAGCCATCCTCAACGCACCTCGCAGCCCGAATACATCAACTGAGAATGAGCACGATCTGTAAATTATAAAGAACAACTGGCATGATGAAAACTACAATGATACGGATATACGCTTTCAGTGTAAAATGTGCTTTTACCTGACAGTTGAATGCTGTCAGTGGTTACTTTTTATAGTCTGTTTTTACTGTAGTGCCAATGTAGAAACAACTGATGGACAATCTGAACATGTGTAAGGTAATCAGGAAGTGAACTGGTTTTCCAGCGAAATTTCCTTATTCATCACCTGGAAACAGTTAAAAACAGAGCCATTAACTGTTTTTGCTTGACGTCTGACTTTTGGCCCCTTCCCTCAAGGCATCACGAAATTCTATTTATGTTCCAGTGCCATTTTTCTCCACTCAGGTAGCGGATAATGGCATTCTCCAAATTACAACCAGTTTATAATGCTGATGAGTTCAGAAGGTCTACGAATATAATCCACTGCATTTGATTGCAGGAAAAGTTTTAATATGTGTGATCTTCATCAGTTTGCTTAAAAGAGGACAGAGAGCGCGTCTCAAAAGAAAGAGCCAGTTTGGATAACTTAGAGTACATCTGAGGCACACTTTGTAAATGTGAGATTCTGTTTATTAGTTTCTGCCAAAAAGGGCTCTACAGGCCTCAAAACAGCGATGAAGCCTGTCAGTAAGACTTAATCTAGTATGTAACAATCAGTTCAGTATATAGAGCGGTTTTCAATTGAGTGTCCTAAAACCAAAACCAAAACCAATTACTTACCAATTAGACTTCTCAGCTAATCTTGAACTGTAGTAAAATCAAAAACAAAACCAATGTAATTGTCTAATTACTTTCGACACTCAACTGAAAACCACTCTATCTACGTGATGGCAAGTAATTATAATCTTGCGATCGGAACCATTCCAGTAAGTGCCACGCAGACTTACTTAATTAAGATATTTACCATATCTTGTATTGTTAGTTGTGACTTAGCCTAGTGCAAAGCTGACAGTGCTATGTATTCTTAAGATATTTATCATATCTTGTATTGTTATTTGGGCTTAGAAGGGGCCAAAAGTCAGACTTAAAGCAAGGACAATTAATGGCATTTTATTGTCTGTTGCCAGGTGATGAATGAGGAAATTACAATGAAAAGTGTTTGTGAAAATCGAAACCATTTCTTGTGAGGATTTGAAGCATTTTGAAATTCAGAAGTTGTTCAGTTTCAATCTAGAAGTTTGTACTGGGTTATTGCAGCGGTTGAGTTAGCAATCGATACGCACTGCTGCTTTCATCTAAAGGTAAGAATGTTTTTGGTGTGCTTATTTCAGTCTGTCATTATGACTTGTATACATGTAGTTCAGAAGTGGTTTAACGTTTACTCACAGTGACTGCGTGAATTATTTTTTAGGTGATTGCCATTCAAGGTTAATACAAGGGGCAATGATGATAAGTGCAGGAGAAATTCCATTGTTTCTTCTTGGAGCGATGATGCTGTGCCACTCCACTAAAGGTGAGGTTGTTTCGTTGGTAGACTTGATGCCATGTAATCTCAGAGAAACCTGAAGAGCAACCTTACAACCAATGGCAAGAACTTTGAAAATGTCTTCTCCTCAGTTACTTAAAAGAGAAACTTCATGGATAATAGCTCCGTCACATACTTTTTTCAGTGATTAGTTTCATTAACGCGCTAGCTGAGTGGTAGACGATAGTGAATGATCCCAGCCGAAAGTTATTAACCATAAGAAGAACTACGTGTTAAGTGCCTCAGTCACAAACAATCAGAACCCGTTGAAAGCTTCAAAGACTTTGTTGCAGAAAATGGCAGTGTTGAAGAAGAAAGTTCAGTTCAAATGACTTGTCTAACGCTAGCAGTGTAAAATGCAAAGACTTCAAAATATTCAGTCCGTGAACCCTTTTCGCCATACTCATGGATTTATAATCCATAGTTTCTCAGTGCTGTAAAGCAAGTTTTGAACGGACCTGTAATGACAGCTAGTTGAGAATATTCTTGGTTCTTTCTTGTATTCAGGGACCGTGAAAAACTCGAAATAGTAATCAAATCCCTGGTATAGTTTCATGTTGATCCAGAGATGTGCATTGTCAAAAACTAATTCAAGATTTTGAGAAGTAGATTGATCAATACACTTCAAGAATTTCGTATTTTATTGATGGAATCTGTAGCCCTGAGTGTTCTTTGCAACATTGTTTACAACTAGCCACCACTTTCATTCCCAAACGAAAGAGAGGGGTCTCAGAAATAAGAAGAAGTGGAGCGCACGGCCGCTGCCAATAATCTTGGCTACATTCGGTAGAATTTGCACCAGGGTTGGCCTTTGGTTTACGAATGATCATGCTGTGCATTTGTGAGATAAATTTGTGAGGTGACCATTCTCGCGAATATAAGGTCTACACTGGGACCTTAAGTCGCCGTAACTTAGGCCAACTTTGGGCGATTTAAGGCGACTTTAGGCGACTTAAGCCAAATTGGCAGAAAAAAACATTGCGACTTTAGCTAGGCGATTTAAGGCGATTTTAGGTGACTTAAGGTGATTTTAGACGACTTGAGGAGACTTTATTTCACTCGAGTGATATAAATTTAAACTTAGCAACAGTCTCTCAGTTCTCTTGCTAAGTGTTCAGATGATTTCTAATCATGCAACAATAAATTACAGTATTCAAATTTCGGAGAGTCTTAGTTTGGCAATTTGTTTTCTTTCTTTTTTCTGTAAACTCCTGTCAGAGTAGTCATACACTCGTGAGCGCGAGTAGCTCGCGTGACAACTTTAGTCATGGGGCCAAACTAAGTCACATGTTCCAAACATTGACCTAGTGGCCATGTTTACTGAGAGTTGATCACAGAGAATTTTCTGTACCTTAGCTTTCGATAGTAACAGTAGCACGTCCACGTAAAGTGTATAAGATGATGTGAATACCTGACTTCATCAAATGTACGAAAAGGATAGATAAACATTATGCTGCAAGTTGGTTCGTCCAATTATGAAATTCTAACATTTACAGTTGGTCGAATGTGGAAGTAGAAATGCAAATAATGATTTTTGCTAGAGAAATGGCCCACTTTTGTCACTCTTTTACACTGGGTAAGTAAAGTATTTAAATTGTAGATTCGGTTCAGTTCAATTGACTTTGGATGACCATATTTTTACTGCTCAGTGTAAAACTGACTAGAAAGAATTGAGCCTTAACCCAGAAATATCTTTTTCTTTTAATCTTTTTCCTTTTCATCTTGATGATCTGGAACACCTCTCACTGTTGTTTTTTATTAATTATACAGTGTAGGTCTTTGGAAGATTTGATTTAGTAATATCGTACAAAAACTAATAAGCTTAAATGAAATTATTGCAGTATAGACAATAGTCATTTGTTATATCTTTCCATATTTAATGTATTTCCTGATGATAACACACAGTGTCATCTTTTTTATTAACTCTTTTACAATGAAATACAAGAGAAAAAATTGAAACTTAATAGAAATAAAAAGCCATCTGTGAGAGAGTGTAAATCAGATTGTCATTTCCTATTTAAGTATTGTCTACATGTAGAAATTGTTCCTGCTAACATGGGGGCTAGACAGGTTCAGGACTATTATAATATTAGGTTTTTTATGTATAAGGGAGCCACGGCTTTAAGGCATAATACAGTATTGTCCTCTGAGCTTCTTAAAGGACCTTAGTCAGCCTCTTCTATTTTCGATGCCATTGAAATTATTGATATTGCATGGTGAGGCAAAGTCTTGTTGCTTTACTGTAAGTTGTTTTCCTGAAAGTATGTCCCTAATATCTTTAGTAGCTTCACGGTGTTTTTCTTTGCTTTGACATGCTCCGAATAAAACATAAAAGCCAAACTCTTGTATGTGAACAAAAACAAAGGTGTGGCTGACTAGGGCCCTTTAAGGGTAGTTTTAGATGGCTCCAGTGCATCGGGAATGAGCGTTAAAAAAGAAAAATTAAAAGCGCACCTATTGAGGTTACCTCTGCTGTGCCCTGCCACCCCTGTTAAGTAACCAGTACCCGTTTATACATCTGGGTGAGGAGAGGCACTATGAGAATGTGAACACCATGCAATGATCCCCGATAGGAGTCCATTGCACCAACCATTGGGCCATCGTGCCTCCTCCTCCATAGGGTTCGAGTGGAGTTTACCCTAACATGACAGTTATAAGTCTAATAACCTTCTACAGGGGCAATTTGAGTGTGTTGAAGCCTTTTTAACATAGCGTAACCAACAGCAACTTAAGGCGACTCAGGGCGACTTAAGGCGACTTAAGGTGACTTAAGGCGACTTAAGTTTACTTTAGGTGACTTAAGGTCCCCGAGTAAGCCTAATATAGATATCTAGCATGCGAGAAGGCTCTAATGTTTGCGTTTCGCACTCAAGTGCTGCTAT